ACGGCTGTCTCTGATATTACCCATACTGAGCCCTAAGTGTCTTTTCATTCAAAAAAAATTAGATTTAAGAAAGTTTATTCAATGTTCCAGTAGTTAATGGGGCCAAATCAACATTTGTTTTTCACTGTAGTGATAGAAAAAAAAAATCTAAGGAACAAGATGGACAGATGTGGTTTGCATTTTCAAATTAAATGTTATAAGCAAACAAAAGTTGGAAGTTCTTTTGAGTGACGTTTGTCATGTTCCTGTCGGCATTATTGAATTTAGGGGGTTAAATAGTCCCTGGGGCACTTTGCAAGTATTGGCTCTATATACTTGGATATCTCCTCTCCTTTAAATAGTGGCTTACGTTCCTGGACACTTGCCCTGGGGGGAGGTTAGATCGGATGATTATCACTCCAATCCGATCAATCACGGTCCTGTCATCAGCCCCGGGTAATCGGCACTAGTCTTATGTGGCCTGTTTTACATCTCTCCAGCAGTGGCTGTCAGTTTACACAGCTCCCTGCTTAAAATCCATGGCAAAATGGCGGATATCGGGTGGCGCATGCGCAGTTCATTTCCGCGCATCGACAATGCTCGGCAAAATGGCGGCTATTCGCGCATGCGCAGTTCCTCGTTTCTGCTTCTGAACGACAGAGCGGGATTTGTGCGCATGCGCGAACCGCATTTAAATAGGAAGTCTTTCCTGTCACACTGCTAGTGGCGTCCACCCTCTGATGAAGTGCCGTAGCACGAAAGGCCTCAGGAGGAGCCAGTAGCGAGTGTGACTTCCTGACCACTGGGACCACGAGGAGGTCCGGTGGTCTTCCATTTTTTACCTTTGCTGGGTTAGTGCATGTATTATTTATTTATTTATTCATTTTCCTCACTTGCCAGTCCGCCTGATCGCTGACGGTATTTGTTATATGCATGTGACCCTGGCTAGTATTACTATTGACCCAATAAAAGTTTTGAACATACTACACTATTGGCATTCCCTTTCTTGACCCTCTTGTTGGAGGGTTCCAGATTTGCAGCAGCCAATTCTTGGGGTACCTGTAACCAGGAGAGGGATCTCAATCTACCTTATCACTTGGGGCAAGAGGGCTCTCTGGACCTGGAGGTATATCACTGTACCCAAGGCTGATGTCGTTACTTGAGGGGGATGACCAATGTGTTTTGCTGATCTGCATACCTGACTGATCATCCGGATAATATTGCATACATGCGCATTTAAAATGCGCGGTCGGTGAGTGCGCATTTTTTCTATTTGATTCCAGTCATCTAAACGATGAAGAGACCTTCACATGCTCTTTGTTCACGATCACTTTTATTGTGTAAAGGACTATATGAACTTTTATTCACATATATTTTATATTAGTATCACAGCGCTGCACTATATATATATTATTCTTGTTACAAGGTCCAGTGATTCCTCAGAGTGTTTCAGCAGCTGATTCTTGAGCGCTCGCTTTATCTTTATCCCATAGTCTGTCTTTATCACATTTCAGCTCGTAGCAGCTCTTTTTTTGTATATACATTTGGTATATCCATATACGTATATTTGTCTATATAACCGTGTCGATATCCATTCTCAAGATGGGGGATATCTTTGACTTTAGATTATCCACAATTGGTATCTCAGAGGACATATACACTATGAACCAGGAGACTGGGGATCTAAAAGGGTTATTCATCCAGTTAAAAAACCTCACAACAGCAGAGATCAAAACATTGTGGCACATTTCTTTCTTGGATAAATATTTGAAAGAACAAATGGTATCTAGATCCTTGAGGTGGGATGTACGTCCAGACACTGAGGACAAAACTAATCTATTAGAATGGTACCAATTCTTCAATAATGCAGGACTGGATCTTCTGAAATTCCTAGTAACTAGGAAAAGGAAGAAATTGACCCGTCTGGACAGGGAGATCAACCTTATTAGGGACAAATTGGTATCCTTTAAAGAGAATGACAGATATAAAATGGAATCTGACAAACTAAAGTTACATCTTGAAGGGGTAGAAAAGGAACAACAGATTAAGAAAAAGAAAAAGTTTATGAGGGACTTTAGTGACTATTCTGACCAAGTGGTCTTTGATTGGCAAAAAATCAAGGACACACTTCCTCCGGATCAGGATCCTATACCTCGGGTTCAGGTTTCAAATAAAAATACTAATAATAAAAAGAAAGGTCCCAATCAAGGGAGACGGGGCCCTTCAACCAACAGGGCTGCACCCCTCCAAGACGAAAACATAGGGTCTAGGGATTATTACCCTAGTATCCCTCCACACTTAACCGGGGGGGGGGGGGGGATATAGGGAGAATAATAACAACCCCAAGGAGAATTATTACTATCAACATTCTTTTCCACCAAAGACCCCTCAGAGGAATATGGGGAACCCCCAGTATTACCACACTGAGTACTATCCACCGTACAGTCCTAGGGAGTATCATACCAATATGGGAGCTCCGTCGCACTATCCCCCTCAGGGATATAGATCGAATAACAACCAGAACCACTATAATAACAATCAGAACCTTTGCAACCACCCTAATTACCCTGATTACCCTAAACATCAGGGGTATAAGAAATCTGCTAATAATTCTCCACAGCGGGGCACTGCTAAACCACCAGTACATCAGAACCCTCAACAGCAGAATCAAACTAAGCAGCCTTTTTTAGGGATGGGTCATCCACGCAAAAGGAGAGATACAGAAGGGGAAAGAGAGGAGGAAGGAGAACGAGGGGACACCCCAAAAAAGAGGAGAGTTTAAAAGGTCAGGGCATTTTTAACCTGAGTGGTGCTACACTTACAAATGGAGAGTTGAACCTTCTTGATAAAGGGTTGAAATATACCCCTGCCACACGATTAAATAAGTTCAACACATATGTAGATGTGCACAAATTTATTAGACAATTGTCTCTTAAAAAATACTTCTTTAATAGACCCAGCGTAGAGAACCAATCACCCTCTAAGTGTGGTCCATTCCAATTTAAAGAATGCGTCCACTTTTAACCCCCCACCGCAATCACATTCTTATATCAATGTCTTTAAGGAGATAGTCCTAAGGGATCTGGAAATAATGCCTACCAAACGAATATATGATAATTCGGATGACAAGTTAGCAATCAAAACACTCCTGGAAAAGAAGGACCTTGTGATCAGGCCGGCGGATAAGGGGGGCGGAGTGGTTATTTGAAGTAAAGCTGACTATTTGGGGGAGGTGAGTAGGCTCTTGGAGGATGAATCCACCTATAGGTTATTACCTGGTAACCCTCTTTTGGGTACAAGAAATCACTTTTAACCATTATTAAGAAAGGATTTGAGAATGGGATTATAAATAAAAAAGAGAAGGCTTTTCTGTGCCCGGTGGCACCTAAGCTTCCTATATTATATATCCTTCCGAAGGTGCATAAAGACCCGGTACATCCACCGGGACGACCTATAATTAGTGGTATAGGGTCGTTATTATCAAGGATCGGTGAATACATCGATTTCCATTTGCAACCACTAGTTGCTGAAACACCTTCATTTCTAAGGAAAAACCAAACAGGTCCTGAATGAAATTAAAACAGTGAATATATCACCTGGTATGTTCTTGGTCACAGCGGACGTCAGCTCCTTGTATACAAGCATTGACCATGCAGATGGCATGGAGTCCGCCGCAGATTTCTACTTGACTAACCACATTCACTTACCAGACATACAAAGGTGCTTCATTCTGGATCTATTGCACTTTGCTATGTATCACAACTATTTCTGGTACAACAAATCTTATTGCCTACTGTCAGGAATGGACTGGCCAGCAATGGTGGGACTCACCTGCCTTATGAGCTGCAGTACCAGGGCTGGCCAGCGGGTGCTCCCAGCAATCAGAGACTCAACCTTGCAGCCAGTCAAACACCTGGAACTGATTATACTGGTGTATTTAAGGGATGGCCAGACCTGCAGACTCTGCCATGGTGTGTGTTTTTCCTGGGCCCTGTATCCTGTTCCTGCTCCCTGTTCCTGTTCCTGTTCCTGTTCCTGTCTGATTCGTTGCTGACCCTGCTCTGATCCCTGGCTTTGTCTGACCATTCTCCTGCTCCTGATCCCTGGCTTGTCTGACCATTCTCCTCTGCCTGACCCTCTGTACCACGCTGCCCGCTACCTGTTGAACCTGGCTTGTGACCCCGACCATTCTCCGCTTGCTCCCCCTGTACCTACCTGCACGATTGATATTGACCCGGCCTGCCTGACGACGCTTGCATTGTATGTACTGTCATCTGTGGGTGGTTGGTTTGGTTTGTTTGCACTGTGTTATGTTTTAGTATTGCACTGCGTTTATGTTTGTATTGTTAGTGTTAATAAATTATATTGTTTATACCATATCTGAAGTCTGCGTTTCCCTGCGTCAGTCACACACCTCTGGTCATACCCGGGAGCCCTGACATTACACCAAGGCCAATCCTGACCAGAAGTGGCTGCACAGGGAAGCCATCTTGGCTTGTTGCTGGGAAGGATGGATCTTGATGAGGTTGTGTATTTATATCTGCTAGTGTTTGATGACAGAGAGTATGCTTATCAAACTTATCAAAGTATCCCCGGGATGAACTGCTAGAATGTATACGGCTCGCTCATGTTCTAGTAGATCAGGGCACAGAATTCTCTGAGGTGCAGCCATTGATTCAGATTTGTGCGGAGTTGGTTTCATCTGGTACCCCCGAATGCAGGGATGAATTTTTGCCACCATTTAGTGCCGACCAGGTAGAGTCCCTGGTATGGTTATTAGAGGATGATGTGGATTGCTTCTTGGAGCATTATGCTGCATTACTGCAGTGCAGTCATTGACCAGACAGGCTTTGTGTAAGCTCAGCTTTGTTCAACCCATACTGCAGACATGGACAGACTTGTTGCACCCAGCCTCAGTCAGCCTACAAAAACCCAGTCCTGCTTCTAATCTATTTCCTCAAAGCTCTATTCCTGCATTCCCAACAGCTCCTCCTGCCCTGCTATCTACCGCATGTCAGTCCCCTGTTCCCACTCGCTGCACCTATCCTGCCTTTAACCCTGTAAAAAAGCCCTCTGTAGCAACTGCTCCCTCCTCTGTTCCATCCTCCAGCTCTTCTCTGTCTCCAGCTGCTCCATTCGTTTGCAGACCTGCGTTTACTTGCAGTGCTCCAGTAGTTAAAACCAGAAAAAAGCAAAAATTCTTTCCAACCAATACCATCCTGCCAGTATCCAAACCAGTGATCCTGCCGTCTGAGAACCTGCCTTCCGTGGTTCAGCCTGGTGCCTCTCTTCAGCCTGATGCCTCTCTTCAGCCTGATGCCTCTCTTCAGCCTGATGCCTTCTACTCAGCCTGATGCCTGGTGACCCGATGCCCGCTGTCCAGCCAGACGATCCAATGTCTGACCCAGTGCCCGCGGTCATACCAGTTGACTCGGAGCCCACTGCCTTGCCAGATGACGCAGTGCCCGCTGTCGTGCCAATTGACTCAGAGCCCGCTGTCGTACCTGGTGACTCGGTGCCCACTGCCTTGCCAGATGACGCGGTGCCCGCTGGCGAGCCAAATGACCTGATGCCTGGTGACCCAGTGCCCGCTGTCATACCTGGTGACCCGATGCCCGCTGTCGAGCCAGACGATCCAATGCCTGGTGACCCGGTGCCCACTGCCTTGCCAGATGACGCGGTGCCCGCTGGCAAGCCAAATGACCTGATGCCTGGTGACCCAGTGCCCGCTGTCATACCTGGTGACCCGATGCCCGCTGTCGAGCCAGACAATCCGGTACCTGATGACCCGGTGCCCGCTGTCGTGCCAATTGAGTCAGAGCCCACTGTCGTGCCTGGTGACTTGGTGCCCACTGTCTTGCCAGATGACGCGGTGCCCGCTGTTGAGCCAAATGACCTGATGCCTGGTGACCCGATACCCGCTGTCCAGCCAGACGATCCAATGTCTGACCCAGTGCCCGCAGTCATACCAGTTGACTCGGAGCCCACTGCCTTGCCAGATGACGCTGTGCCCGCTGTCGAGCCAAATGACCTGATGCCTGGTGACCCGATGCCCGCTGTCCAGCCAGACGATCCAATGTCTGACCCAGTGCCCGCGGTCATGCCAGTTGACTCGGAGCCCACTGCCTTGCCAGATGACGCGGTGCCCGCTGTCGAGCCAGACGATCCATTGTCTGACCCAGTGCCAGCGGTCATGCCAGTTGACTCGGAGCCCACTGTTGTGCCTGGTGACCCGGTGCCTGTTGCTCCGCCTGGGGGTCTGGCGCCCGCCGCTCCGCCTGGGGGTCCGAGACCTGTCGCTCCGCCTGGGGGCCCGGCGGCGCTCCGCCGCTGGGGGCCCGGTGCCCGCCGCTCCGCCTGGGGGCCCGAGACCTGTCGCTCCGCCTGGGGGCCCGAGACCTGTCGCTCCGCCTGGGGGCCTGAGACCTGTCGCTCCGCCTGGGGGCCTGAGACCTGTCCTCCGCCTGGGGGCCTGAGACCTGTCGCTCCGCCTGGGGGCCTGAGACCTGTCGCTCCGCCTGGGGGTCCGGCGCCCGCCGCTCCGCCTGGGGGCCCGAGACCTGTCGCTCCGCCTGGGGGTCCGGCGCCCGCCGCTCCTCCTGGGGGCCCGAGACCTGTCGCTCTGTCTGGGGGTCCAGCGCCCGCTGCTCCGCCTGGGGGCCCGATGCCTGTTGCCCCGCCTGGGGGCCCGATGCCTGTCGCCCCGCCTGGGGGCCCGATGCCTGTCGCCCCACCTGGGGCCCGATGCCTGTCGCCGCTCCTGGGGGCCCGGCGCCCGCCGCTCTGCCTGGGGGCCCGATGCTGTCGCCCCGCCTGGTGGCCCGGTGCCTGCTGCTCCGCCTGGTGGCCCGGTGCCTGCTGCTCCGCCTGGTTGCCCGGTGCCTGCTGCTCCGCCTGGTGGCCCGCTGCCTGCTGCTTCGCCTGGTAATCCGATGTGCCTCTGCCCGGAGTCCAGCCCGATGTGCCTCTGCCCGGAGTCCAGCCCGATGTGCCTCTGCCCGGAGTCCAGCCCAATGTGCCCAGCCCGATGTGCCTCTGCCCGGAGTCCAGCCCGATGTGCCTCTGCCCGGTGCCCGATGTGCCCCTGCCCGGAGTCCTGCCCGGTGTGCCGCTGCCCGGAGTCCTGCCCGGTGTGCCAGTCTTTGATATCCCGCCAGTTACCAGACCCGGGCGGTGGAACATTTTGCCCAGCTAGGACTGTTTGGAGCGTCCTGAGGCCGCTCCTTGAGGGGGGGGTACTGTCATGAATGGACTGGCCAGCAATGGTGGGACTCACCTGCCTTATGAGCTGCAGTACCAGGGCTGGCCAGCGGGTGCTCCCAGCAATCAGAGACTCAACCTTGCAGCCAGTCAAACACCTGGAACTGATTATACTGGTGTATTTAAGGGATGGCCAGACCTGCAGACTCTGCCATGGTGGTGTGTGTTTTTCCTGGGCCCTGTATCCTGTTCCTGCTCCCTGTTCCTGTTCCTGTCTGATTCGTTGCTGACCCTGCTCTGATCCCTGGCTTTGTCTGACCATTCTCCTGCTCCTGATCCCTGGCTTGTCTGACCATTCTCCTCTGCCTGACCCTCTGTACCACGCTGCCCGCTACCTGCTGAACCTGGCTTGTGACCCCGACCATTCTCCGCTTGCTCCCCCCTGTACCTACCTGCCCAATTGATATTGACCCGGCCTGCCTGACGACGCTTGCATTGTATGTACTGTTATCTGTGGGTGGTTGGTTTGGTTTGTTTGCACTGTGTTATGTTTTAGTATTGCACTGCGTTTATGTTTGTATTGTTCGTGTTAATAAATTATATTGTTTATAACATATCTGAAGTCTGCGTTTCCCTGCGTCAGTCACACACCTCTGGTCATACCCGGGAGCCCTGACACCTACAGATAAAAGGCGTTGCAATGGGGGCTAAGTTTGCCCCCAGCCTCGCGAACCTCTTCATGTCCAGGTGGGAGGAGGATGTCATCTATGCCAGAGACTGGCCGGAACTGGTTTTGTACAAGCGATATATAGATGACATCCTCCTCCTTTGGAAAGGAGAGGAAAATGCACTCAATAACTTTTTTACAACACTAAATAATAACACTTTAAACAACCGCTTGACTTATACCTATAGTCGACACCAGATCGACTTTTTGGACCTTACACTAACCAATGACAACGGGGGATAGTTACTAAGTCCTTTTTTAAGGTATCCGATCGTAACAGCTATATCCCTGTAAATAGCTGCCACCACCCAAATTGGCTTAATAACATACCAAAAGGCCAATTTACCCGGATAAGGCGTAACTGTACAGATCTGGAGACATATTGGTCTCAAGCGAATATTCTAAAAAGCAGATTCCTTGAAAAAGGGTATAGAGAAACTGAACTTGATAATTCTCTGGCTAAGGTTGCGGGTTTTGACAGGAATGAGATGCTCTCATATAAACCAAAAAGAACACATGAGAGAGTAGTCCGTTTGTCCGTTTGTGACTACGTTTTCAGTGCAATACAGACAAGTAGGAAGACTGATTAAGAAGAATTGGGACATTTTAAGGATGGACCCTGTTTATCACAAATACTACCTGATAAACCTGAGATTATGTTTAGAAGGGCCCCGTCCATTAGAAATCGGATTGCACCAAACGTGGTGAACCCCCCTGCTAAATTGACCTTTTTCAATGAATTAAAGGGATTCCACCCGTGTAATAAGTGCATTATATGTAGGTGTGACAATACCCGTAAACGGAGGATTGATACGTTTACCTTCATCATCAACTGGGAAATCTTATGATATCAAGCAATTCATAACATGTCATAGCAAATTTGTGGTCTACCTTCTGAGTTGTCCCTGTAAGAAACAGTATGTAGGACGGACAACCAGACGCCTACGGGACCGCCTACGTGAGCATGTGGCGAACATAAGGAAAGGCTACAAAGATCATTCGTTATCCAACCACTATAGGCTTTTCCATAATAAGGATCCTACCTCATTAAAATTTATGGGTATAGAGGTAATATCTCCGCATTGGAGGGGACTCCATAAGACTAGAACTGTTTCTCAGGCAGAGACCCGTTGGGTCTATGAATTACGTACCCTTTACTCTCATGGACACAATGTTGAGGTGGATATCAACTGCTTCATTGCTAATAGTTAAGACAATGATATATTCCCCATTGTGTTCAACCACATGCCTTGATATATGGTTGGTTGAGGTTTTTTTTATTTACATTTTTACATTTCATTTTTATTTTCATTTTTATTCATTTTTACACTTTTAAGTCTTCATCTATATAAAAAAAAAAAAAAAATTTTTATATCTTCATATATTTTCATTTTTATAGATTTATATTTCGTTTCTTCATATTTTCTGTATCTCTAGGATATGGAGCTATAGAAATATATGTATGTGTACCAATTGTCTATAGAGTGCTTTTTCTGAACTTTAATAGTATGTAGCATCTGGATGTGGAGCACCTTTGGTTACTGGTTACGGTTTATGATCCACGACAATTGGTGACTCATGATAAGAATTTATGTCAACAGGAAATGCCACCTGTTTTCAACATCTGTGTGCGTTTTCAATATGTGTGCGTTTTTTGAATACCTATGTGCGTTTTGAAACTTTTTAATATGGAGGTTGTTTTTCGCATAATTAAATGATGTTTATTTATTTTACTATATGGATAATCCACTCTAGTATCCACTCTAGCACATATGCCATGGATATAATAGTATACGTTGAGGAGTTGATGAAATTACCCTTATGGACGACCAAAGGGGGGGTTAAATAGTCCCTGGGGCACTTTGCAAGTATTGGCTCTATATACTTGGATATCTCCTCTCCTTTAAATAGTGGCTTACGTTCCTGGACACTTGCCCTGGGGGGAGGTTAGATCGGATGATTATCACTCCAATCCGATCAATCACGGTCCTGTCATCAGCCCCGGGTAATCGGCACTAGTCTTATGTGCCCTGTTTTCATCTCTATAGCAGTGGCTGTCAGTTTACACAGCTCCCTGCTTAAAATCCATGGCAAAATGGCGGCTATCAGGTGGCGCATGCGCAGTTCATTTCCGCGCATCGACAATCCTCGGCAAAATGGCGGCTATTCGTGCATGCGCAGTTCCTCGTTTCTGCTTCTGAACGACAGAGCGGGATTTTTGCGCATGCGCGAACCGCATTTAAATAGGAAGTCTTTCCTGTCACACTGCTAGTGGCGTCCACCCTCTGATGAAGTGCCGTAGCACGAAAGGCCTCAGGAGGAGCCAGTAGCGAGTGTGACTTCCTGACCACTGGGACCACGAGGAGGTCCGGTGGTCTTCCATTTTTTACCTTTGCCGGGTTAGTGCATGTATTATTTATTTATTTATTAATTTTCCTCACTTGCCAGTCCGCCTGATCGCTGACGGTATTTGTTATATGCATGTGACCCTGGCTAGTATTACTATTGACCCAATAAAAGTTTTGAACATACTACACTATTGGCATTCCCTTTCTTGACCCTCTTGTTGGAGGGTTCCAGATTTGCAGCAGCCAATTCTTGGGGTACCTATGACCAGGATCTCAATCCACCTTATCACTTGGGGCAAGAGGGCTCTCTGGACCTGGAGATATATCACTGCACCCAAGGCTGATGTCGTTACTTGAGGGGGATGACCAATGTGTTTTGCTGATCTGCATACCTGACCGATCATCCGGATAATATTGCATACATGCGCATTTAAAATGCGCGGTCGGTGAGTGCGCATTTTTTCTATTTGATTCCAGTCATCTAAACGATGAAGAGACCTTCACATGCTCTTTGTTCACGATCACTTTTATTGTGTAAAGGACTATATGAACTTTTATTCACATATATTTTATATTAGTATCACAGCGCTGCACTATATATATATTATTCTTGTTACAAGGTCCAGTGATTCCTCAGAGTGTTTCAGCAGCTGATTCTTGAGCGCTCGCTTTACCTATATCCCATAACATTATTGAATTTACTGGCAAGAATTTTCTTACAAATATTCATATAAAAATCTATTGTTGTATAGCCAGCTTAAAGAATAAATTCATATTTCATAACATGTTAATCCAGGGTGTAACATGTAACATGTTACTAAATAGGCAGGCCCCACATCCCCCCACCCCGAGCCCCCATTGTGACAGGGAATCTTCTGTCTGCACCCGCTATTGCAATTTTTAAAAAATGCGTGTGTGCAGTGCTCTGCCCACCCGACTACATCATTCTTTTATAGAGTTCTTTGAAGAAGAGAACTACAACTTCCATCAGCCCTTGTGGATGACAGCTTGTAGTTCTCAATGAACTACCCGTGTGCTGGTGAACACTCTAATAGTTCATTGATTCTTCCTGTCGTTCAGTAACTGCCTGCCAGTATGAAGTACAGGCAGACAGGTACACAGAGAGTATGCAGGAGCCTTGCACTGCACCCACGTTCTAATGATTATGGTTGCAATTCTTTACAGGCTCCTAATAAAAAAAAAAACAAATGCACATTTTTTTACCTGAAAAAAGATATGCATTTATTGTTTTTTTAAAGGTGAAATTATCCTTTAAGAATCAGCATGTAAATGTATGAACAGGAGCCAAGGGCTTCAACGGCAGGCTGGAATTGTGAGTATGGAGAAAAATGTGCAAAAAAATTGGAAAGATTGTTTTAGTCCTGAACATAATAAAGTTAACAGATCAACAGAAGACTTTATACATTCCCCTAATAGACAATTCAATAGACAGTGAAGGATATCTCTAGACTTGTCAAGTATAAAGATCTTGTTTGGGGGCTGCTCTGTTCTCTTTTTAAATTG